AATCAGTTACAGAAGACGATGACGTGGCAATCCGGGTTAATGGAACTCGGGGCGCTACAGAAACTGTCTGTTGTTTCTTGGAGTTCAATGAAATTAAAGCATTCCCAAGGAAAAAACAAAACCCAATTACAGACCTCCTTATTTTCGAACAAGCCCCCCAATCCGCATCAGAAAATGATGATAATTGGAGTGAGCTTGCAGCTGAATAGAATAGGCCCTGTGATGGTGAGCACTTTAAGTACCTTGCTGTCCACAAGGCGGCCTTCCAATGAGTGTCCTTCGGTTTGGTTAAGAATTGGCTAAGCAATTGGACTGAATATGAAATTTCTGGACGGGTGATCGTTAAGTAAAGCAACTTCCCAATGAGTCTTCTATATTTGGTAGGATCAGCAATATCAGTCCCGTCATCTACAGTAAGTTATTAAATTCTACTCCATGGGAAAACTAGTAGGTTTTGCAGCAAGAAGTCCAAGATCCTGTAAGATCTCTAAGGCATATTTCCTTTGACAAATGAAAATGCTGAGATGATCGTGCCAATTCGATGCCTAAAAAATACTTCAATGATCCAAGGTCCTTGAGCTTGAAATTTTGTGCTAAATAGTCCTTCAATGACCGTATTTCTGAAGCATTATCACCTGCAATAATTATGTCATCTACGTACACCAACATAACAGTAAATGAAGTGCTGGTTTTCTTTACAAACAAAGAGTAGTCGGCCTTAGATTGCATGAACCCAATCTTAGTGATGACCAAAGTGAGTTTTTGGTTCCATTGACGAGATGCTTGCTTCAATCCGTAGAGTGACTTCTTTAGCTTGCAAACTCATTGCTCCCCTTGAGTGTCGTATCCCGAAGGTAGAGACATGTACACTTTTTCATCCAAGTCAACATACAAGAAAGCATTATTGACATCTATGTGGGATATGAACCAGTCTTTAGAGGCTGTAGGGCTAAAAAACAACATACAGTGGACATCTTGGCCACAGGTGAGAATGTCTCCAAATAGTCTTTTCCTTCCTTTTGAGTGTAGCTTTTTGCAACCAATCTTGCCTTGTGTTGTTTAATGCTTTGATCAGCTTTATATTTGGTCTTGAACACCCATTTGCATCCAATATTTTTCTTCCCATTTGGTAGTCACGTAAGTACCCAAGTCTGATTTTCTTCTAATACTCTAATTTCATCACTCATAGCAATCCTCCAATGAGGGAATGTCATGGCTTTGGCATAAGAGGTAGGCTCAGGTTCAAGGCTAGCTGCTAAGGTGAATTTTAAATGTGATGGTGACAAATGTATATAATCAAGAACCGAAGAGAGTACATGAGGATTACCTTCATCAAATGACTTGTCAAGAGGAGGTTCTTTGGTGTTGCTAAAGAGGCCACTGGCTTGCAAATGAAATCTTGAAGGTAATGCGGTAGTTTTATGTCTCTAGTAGATCTCCTAAGTTTAGATAGAGATGCTACCATTTGGACAGGAGGACGAGAATGGTTTGGTAAACTGGGATTTACTGTAGTTGGAAGAGCAAGAATATGTGCAGTCTCCACTCGGTCAGCGGGATACTAGAGGTATCAGATGAAAGCTGTATATTCCCTTCAGTATTTGGCATGATTCGGGATAGACGATCATTTGATCGAGCTATGGAGTCCAAAATGTTGGAGTTGACAAGCCATTGGACAAGTTTCGTGAAGGAACTGAGGGCCGGAAAGGATTGGAAAGCGATCGAAACAAGAAGCCAAAATAGAGGCAAAATTGAAGAACCATGCAGCCGCATGGTTCTAAAGCCATGCGGCCGCATGGCTAGCAACCGAAAGTCGCATGGGCAAATTGGTTTTGCCCATGCAGCCGCATGGACCAATTTTCTGGCGAGAATTTTCAATTTTTATTTAGTTTCCTAATTTGATTCAATTACCTTCTTTTAGTATTTTTTAGCATATTTTGGTCCCAATTTCGTGGCAAATAGGGTTTCCTTAGTTTTCATATAAATACTTCGCATTTTTCATTGTAAAAGAACCTTTTGACAATTATGAATTAATGAGATTTTCTTTCCCTTGTTCTTCATGAACATCCGAACTTATCAAATATTATTCTAATATTTATCCCATTCAACCCTAGAACTTATCAAAGGATTATGCACCCTTTGTGGCGTTCACAAATCATGGTTCTTGTTTCCGCACATCAACGGGTCTAATGTTTAATATACCTTAGGTTCTTGGTTCGAGAGGCTCGGGTCAGGATTCTATCGTCTACAACTTAAATTTGGACTAGGTCGATTTCAATATCGTTGCTGGGTTGCGTAGTGTTCGTTGCTACGTGGTTCTCATCATTTGCATGAATTAATGAGATTTTCTTTCCCTTGTTCTTCATGAACATTCAAACTTATCAAATATTATTCTAATATTTGTGCCGTTCAAGCCTAGAACTTATCAAAGGATTAGGCACCCTTTGTGGCGTTCACAAATCATGGTTCTTGTTTCCGCACATCAACGGGTATAAGGTTTAATATACCTTAGGTACTTGGTTTGAGAGGCTCGGGTCAGGATTCTATCGTCTACAACCTAGATTTGGACTAGGTCGATTTCAATATCGTTGCTGGGTTGCGTAGTGTTCGTTGCTACGTGGTTCTCATCATTTGGTATTAGAGTTTAGGTTCCAGATTCTAGTTCTATCTTTTTGTTGTTTTTATTCTTTTGTTCTTCGTGTTCTTATGTTCAGTAATTTTAAGTCTTTGATTCGAAAAATTTTAAAAAAAAATTCAAAAGTTGTTT